ATTTATTTCATCAGCAATGTTCACGTTTACCAGCAGGAAAGGACATTGGAAACAGAAGCTAGAGAAAATGCATGTAGGTGACATTAACCATACATGTAAGAAGCTGATGGAAGAAGTTAATTACTCATGATTATGGAAGAAATACACTATGGAGATACTTAAAGACAAGGATGAGGATTTTGGAAGAAGACTCAGAATCTTTCTGGCGTAATTTGTATGACAATGAAATCCCAGGTAACTATTGCCTGAAGACAGCATTTCACTTAGATATAGGTATAATTGTTACAACAAAGACTCCAAAACAGCAGTAGTGTAAACAATATTAAAGTCTATTCTTGCTCATGGACTTTTATGAGTAACATCCCAGGGCTCTCACGGACAGAGAATGGATATTTTTTTTCTTGTGGCCAGTATAAGAGCCTGGATAGGAGCAGCCCTGCTTGCCTGTCTCTGAGGGTCCTGCTCTGGCCCCTCCAGATGTGCACATCTCCACAGGAGCAAGAAGTCTTCAGGCAAAGAGGTCTGCCTACGGAAACTGGTGTCCCCTCCTTCACAGTCGGATCATGTGTTGGGTACTCAAGATTCGAATACACAGTTCAAATAGCTTCAGCCTCCTTCGGCTTGAGCCTTATCTCTCCCCAAGAGCAGTCTGTGTTGCTGGTCTGTACTCCCTTAGGTTTAAGGCAAGGAATGGCTAAGTGGCAGTCATTTGTGGGAGACTTAGGCATGTGAGCTGAGATGGATATACACACCATGAGGTCCCTTGCAGTGCAGCATGTACCACAGCTGGATGGAAATAGACATGGGCCAGGAGCCAGATAGGTGGTTATCTATTCCTGACCCCATCATATTCTGGAACATTACTCAAAGGCATCCGAGATTTTATACTTGAACGTTAGTATACAAAGGTAACTTTTGATGGTATATTTGTCAGATAAGTGTAGAACATATTTTATTTAATAGTTTTTAGTATATATAATTTTAAATACATTTTTTCTATGGTATGTGGTTCTCCATTTGAACTCTAATTCAAAGCCCTGCAAATTTTTGGTGAGCTTGCTTTGGTTCTATAGTTCCAACATACGATGATGATGATACTTAATGGAGCAGAACAGCTCCTTCGTTCAACCCATCACATCTGCATGCCAGCCAGCAAAAAGGAAAAAAGGAAAGGAAGATATGGCTTTCCCATTGAAAGTACAATCTAGAAAAAAAACAACTTTGATCTGCACACGTCCCATTGGCCCAACTTTTGAATGTGTAGAGTTTTGCAAGGCATCCCGTATTTTCAGCTAAAAGCTCTGTTACTGAGGGAGAAAAAAGAATGGTATTGTAGAAGATAGCAAGCCTTGTAGAGAGCAAGCAAGCAATTCTGCCCTTTCCCAATGAAACAATTCCCAAGTTCCATTTGGTTCAGAAGCAACCTCAAAGTTCAGAACCTTAGAAGGTATCTGTCCTCTCTATAGATATATGTAGCTTGTTATGGTCTGGGATATAACAAATTTTTTTAAAAGTCTATTTGTCTCCCCCACACACACACAACACATATACCAAACTTAATAAAAATAGTAGAGGAAGAAACAGGACAGTCACAGTAAAAATGCCAGTCAAATAGGAAATAATGGAAATCCAACAACAGCTCACTGGCTTTTAGCAGTCATCGTATCTTGTTGAGGAGGACATTGCAAAACCTCCCTGTCTGGCAGCTTGGCTAGTCCTTGTTATATTATTTGGAAACTGCTTACTCTGCTCTCTGAGGAGTTTTTCTCTATTGCACTCTGTGGCCCTGGCTTTGCCCTCTGGGACATTCTTCCTTGTCTATTACCCTCCATGATAACTTTAAGTAATGTTGGAGAGTGTGTTGATCTTGGAGATGTACAGCTTTGGGGGATCAGGGTTGCTTTATAGGTCAAAATGACACGGTTTGTTCTGCTAGATGTGTGCTTTCTTTGGCAATGTATTTTCCTCACATCTCAGTAGGCTTACAATCTACTGGCTTCCACTGATTCATAAGTAAGTTGCCAAGATATTCTCTATTAGTACTCTGACATCCAAAAACTTTTCTTTTTTACCATCCTTATGCTCTCCCATTTCCATTTCTTGGCGGCTTACTGAGGCCATCCAAACACTAGTGTGGTTGGGAGAGTGACATTATCTGGTCTTTGCTCTGAACTGGACTCACTAACTAGCAAGAGCACTTCTGGAAGATGCATAGAGAGCTGGAGACAGTTTAGGTCCTTCAGGGTTCATTTTAGGAGCTATTTCAGCTCTGTTTAGTTTGTAAGAAATAACTTTTCACTACTGTACATTTCTACGTCACTAGACCCTTGTCCTTAGTTTGCAGGCAACATCCAGAGAAAAACTCCTCAAATGTGTATTCTCTCAGTCTATGTTCACAAATATTTTAGTCTAGCTTGACTCTCTTTTCTAGGTTTTTCCAAAAGCTTCAGAAGGCAGCCAATACACACCAGCATTCTGGTGTTTTCTTTTTCAGTAAGTCCAGAGTCACAGGCCATATTCATATGCGTTCTGCCTTCAAGGCTAGATGTACAATTTCTTAAACATATTTCCAAAAAAAATGACAGAGACACCAAATTTCCAGCTTCTAATATCTGTGTCCTTCTACCAACTGTCCAACCTTTAAGCAATGCCACACATGTTAGTTCTGTTCTGGCAACGCCAATTCCAGTATCAAATTCAAAATTAATTACTATAGTCCAGTTGTTGTTATAGAGTTCCAAAATATCAGTAGCTTATTTAATACAAGATGTTTATTGTCTGTCTCACATAGCAGGCCCAGTGGACAGCAGTCCAGAGCAGGAAAGGCAGCTCTTGGACAATTATACTTTGTGGTCAAGATGATTTCTTCACCCTGCTATCATCATTACCCACATTATAACCACTCTGGGAGGGAAAGTATGAAGGGGAAGGCACATTCCTTCCTCTTAAAAGATGACTTTATTCATAAATAACAGTCACTGGTTTTTAGCAACATCATGTCAGTTATGCTGAGGTTGCATTAGCCAGAACTTTAACACATGACACACTCACTACAAGGAAGGCTGCAAAATGAAGTCTTTTAAATGGCAGCCATGATCCCATTGTAGGTATGGTTGGGGAGCAGTGAGAAAGATAGCATTGCCGAATACATCTTCTTCACACATCAGAAGAAACTTTCATACTCACTTAGAACATTCTTCCTTTTCCTCCTTGGAACTGAATAGACAAGCCTGAACTTAAATGCTGCTCATGGATTCAACATTGGCAGAGCATTTTGAAAACTTTCTGTTTAGTTTGGCAAAATAATTGCCTCTGGAAAGATCAGCATGTATTTCTTGTCTTGAGGATTTTATAACATTTCCTTAGACCAAAAAGAAGTAATACGACAAACTACAAACAGAAGATATGATTGAATGACAGAAGCCAAAAGGTATCTCTCAAATTAGCATTTATTTTCAATCTTCCTTTCTAGATTACTTTCTAGAAACATCCGTCTTCTCTTTTGTGCTTACTGTGGATGGTCTTTTACAGATACAAAGAACAGAGCATCTAAATTCGATTCAAATCTCCTTGACTGCTGTCAAAGTGACAGTGGTAATTTTGCCTAAGCATGTATACTAGACCTGACAAGGGCATGCTTTAGGAATCTAGCTATTCAGCGACAATCAGTTCCTTACTGTTTGAATTAAATAGTAGTGTTCATAACACTGGGCTATTAATTTCACTGTGAATAAAACTAGGCCTGACTGCGACTTGGTTTTAAATGCATACTAGTGAGAAGCATACGATATTTGGTCAGACAGACTATGGTTCAAACCGGCCTGACATGTATGTCTTAGCCATTCAATTTTACATAGGCAGGAAGTTTTTTCCTTATGTCTTGAAATTCATGTTCATGATTTATCTTCAACTATAAGTTTTTTAGTATATTATCTCTAATTCTGATCTTTCTCCCAAACTTTGTGTGTTATATTCTAATCACTTAGAGAGTTAGGATATAATGAACTTACCAGGGCTGCTGGGTAAATGAGATGACACATAAAATTGAATAACAGTCAAAAAGTAAGTATTTTTATTGTGCTCATGTGTGACGAATAAATCAATAAATCTCTCACCTGTAATATACCTCATGAGATATGGTCCAAAGTTTTATCTATGGGTATGTATAATGTTATAATAAAAATCATTCACATTAACACAGAGGTACCCCAGAATATTTTTCTTTATAAAGGACCTATGATTGAGAAATAATACTCTGTCTAACCTAGAGTTTTACCTATCTCTTGTAAAATACTTTGCATATAAATAGATAGGTAGTTAATAAATGTCTGGTATTTGTTTAAATGAATGTATTAATGTGCATATTTTTAAATAAGTCCACCTTTAGACTTGCTACTATTAATAAGTTAACATCTTATTACATTAATATTAATAACATTAACAGCCATATGTCAATCACCATTAAATACATGACATACCCTATCTCATTTAACTTTCACAATTATACTCAATGGTAGCTCCTATTTTTATTTAGATAAATACACTGGTGCTCAGAAAGGTTAGTTGACTTACACAGAAGCACATGGCAAATAACTGAGAGAGGCAGTAGAGCTCAGGTAGTTGATGCTAAAGTTAATTATTTTAACCACAATATTGCACAAAAAAATTTAAAAATATGTGTGAAAATAGCAAAATGGCTGTGTAATAGCAGTACATACATCAATAACACGATGTTAGCACATTAAGAACACTATTCTCCAAGCTAGCCTGAGAACCACTATCTATGGTCTTGCTCTCTCAGACAAAGCATGCATGTAGAAAATAACAGAATCCACCTGCAGTGGGAAATGTCCATCAAAACTGTCAAGTGTATCTTACTGATGTTTTTTGGCTTCTCCTTGTATGTTCAATTTCATTTGGTTCCAAGAGTGAGAGAACAAAAGAAAAAAAGGAGATTCAAATAAGGAGAGTTCTAATACCCTTCATTCCTTTATTCCTAGTGCCAAGCTTCAAAAGAAAATGCTCTTTAGTTCATCTCTCCTTTGCTAACTTATGCAGAGAAGTGAAACACCATCAGAATGATCAAATGCACTGGAGTGATCCTGTAAACAGTGAAAAGGTAGCTATAGCATCTCAGCAGAGAATGTAAGAGAACTTTTCAGGATAATAGATTTATTAATTATTTTGTGGTGAGAGTTTCACAGGTGTATGCATATATTAAAATTCAACAAATTGTGTATTTTAAATATGTGTAGTTTATTGTACATCAATTATACCACAATTGCTTTTTAAAAATAAATATAATGGAAAGGGTGACCAATCAATGTGCAGCATAGACTCAAGTCTTCCTGTGATAAAGAACTGAGACTTCGGCTTGTCGCAGTGGAAACATACTTATCACGAGGTAGGCCAGGTTGGCCATGATTTAATTATTTGGCATCTATTTTTTGAGCACCTGTTACATGCCTTGTACTGCATTAGCCACTTTGAATATATTATCTTATAAGAATGTTGAGATAACTCTGTCATGCAGTAATTTTGGGTGGCTTAGATCACTCCCTTCATAAAATAAGTGTTTTGAGACACACTACACACAAAATATTATTGACCTTTTGCCCCAAATAGAAATCAACAGCTTTCTGAGACACACAGGCACACACAGCAGGGACCTCTGATTTACAGAACACTGTCAAATATAACTAGCTGGCTCTGTGATTCAAATCTTCCTTCATAGGATACATATAGGAGTTTCCCTGGTTCTAAAAGTACAAAATTTAGGAAGAAAAAGGAAGAAATTTTTCTTTCCCTTGATATTTAAGTCCATGAACAACAAAATATCTCTAGCCAGTAGAAGGTACTTTATGAAATATATAAGTTAGCCTAATATTGTGCTACCCCATTGAGCCCAATGGGTGGAAATGTCAGCATACTCAACTGGCAAGGAAAACTGTCTTGAGATTGTGGTGTGGAAAGATTGGACCTGGAGCAGTGAACTCTCAAATGAGTAAATAAATATTTGAATGGGGAGCAACATCAGAGTCAGAGTAGCACTTTCAAAATACTACTGTGGGTGCTGGAATGGAACAGGTGGAAGGACAAGGCAGTATCGTAATTATGTCTTATTCAGATCTGGAACCTTAGAATAAAATCAGACCAGTGGGATGAACCAAGACTCTGAAAATTATGGTTACATTAGGAAGCAGCCCTGCCTTGCCTGTCTCTGAGGTCTGCTCTGGCACCCTCCAGATGTGCACACTCTCCCAGAGCAAGAAGTCTTCAGGGCAAGGAGGTCTGCCTACCGGAACTGTGTCCCCTCCTTCACAGTCGGATCATGTGTTGGGTACTCAAGATTCAGAATACACAGTTCAAATAGCTTCAGCCTCCTTTCGGCCTTGAGCTATCTCTCCCCAAGAGCAGTCTGTGTTGCTGGTCTGTACTCCCTTAGGTTTAAGGCAAGGAATGGCTAAGTGGCAGTCATTTGTGGGAGACTTAGGCATGTGAGCTGAGATGGATATACACACCATGAGGTCCCTTGCAGTGCAGCATGTAGCCACAGCTGGATGGAAATAGACATGGGCCAGGAGCCAAGACTAGGTGGTTATCTATTCCTGACCTCATCATATTCTGGAACATTACTCAAAGGCATCCGAGGATTTATACTTGAACGTAGTATACAAGGTAACTTTTGATGGTATATTTGTCAAGATAAGTGGTAGAAACATATTTTATTTAATAGTTTTTTGAGTATATATAATTTTAAATACATTTTTTCTATGGTATGTGGTTCTCCATTTGAACTCTAATTCAAAGCCCTGCAAATGTTTGGTGAGCTTGCTTCTGGTTCTATAGTTCCACATACGATGATGATGATACTTAATGGAGCAGAACAGCTCCTTCAGTTCCACCCATCACATCTGCATGCCAGCCAGCAAAAGGAAAAAAAGGAAAGGAAGGATATGGCTTTCCCATGAAAGTACAATCTAGAAAAAAAACAACTTGATCTGCACACGTCCCATTGGCCCAACTTTTGAATGTGTAGAGTTTTGCAAGGCATCCCGTATTTCAGCTAAAAGCTCTGTTACTGAGGGAGAAAAAAGAATGGTATTGTAGAAGATAGCAAGCTTGTAGAGAGCAAGCAAGCAATTCTGCCCTTTCCCAATGAAACAATTCCCAAGTTCCATTTGGTTACAGAAGCAACCTCAAAGTTCAGAACCTTAGAAGGTATCTGTCCTCTCTATTAGATATATGTAGCTTGTTATGGTCTGGGAATATAACAATTTTTTTAAAAGTCTATTTGTCTCCCCCACACACACACAACACATATACCAAACTTAATAAAAATAGTAGAGGAAGAAACAGGACAGTCACAGTAAAAATGCCAGTCAAAAATAGGAAATAATGGAAACCAACAACAGTCGACTGGCTTTTAGCAGTCATCGTATCTTGTTGAGGAGGACATTGCAAAACCTCCCTGTCTGGCAGCTTGGCTAGTCCTTGTTATATTATTTGGAAACTGCTACTCTGCTCTCTGAGGAGTTTTTCTCTATTGCACTCTGTGGCCCCTGGCTTTGCCCTCTGGACATTCTTCCTTGTCTATTACCTCCATGATAACTTTAAGTAATGTTGGAGAGTGTGTTGATCTTGGAGATGTACAGCTTTGGGGGATCAGGGTTGCTTTATAGGTCAAATGACACTGGTTTTTCTGCTAGATGTGTGCTTTCTTTGGCAATGTATTTTCCTCACAATCTCAGTAGGCTTACAATCTACTGGCTTCCACGATTCATAAGTAAGTTGCCAAGATATTTCTCTATAGTACTTCTGACATCCAAAAACTTTTCTTTTTTAACCATCCTTATGCTCTCCCATTTCCATTTCCTTGGCGGCTTACCTGAGGCCATCCAAACACTAGTGTGTGTTGGAAGTAAGACATTATCTGGTCTTTGCTCTGAACTGGACTCACTAACTAGCAAGAGCACTTCTGGAAGATGCATAGAGAAGCTGGAGACAGTTTAGGTCCTTCAGGGTTCATTTTAGAGCTATTTCTTAGCTCTGTTTTAGTTGTTAAGAAATTAACTTTTCACTACTGTACATTTACGTCACTAGACCCTTTGTCCTTAGTTTGCAGGCAACATGCAGAGAAAAACTCCTCAAATGTGTATTCTCTCAGTCTATGTTCACAAATATTTTAGTCTAGCTTGACTCTTCTTTCTAGGTTTTTCCAAAAGCTTCAGAAGCAGCCAATACACACCAGCATTCTGGTGTTTTCTTTTTCAGTAAGTTCCCAGAGTCACAGGCATATTCATATGCGTTCTGCCTTCAAGGCTAGAGTAACAATTTCTTAAACATCATTTCCAAAAAAAATGACAGAGACCACCAAATTTTCCAGCTTCTAATATCTGTGTCCTTCTACCAACTGTCCAACCTTTAAGCAATGCCACACATGTTAGTTCTGTTCTGGCAACGCCAATTCCAGTATCAAATTCAAAATAATTACTATAGTCCAGTTGTTGTTATAGAGTTCCAAAATATCAGTAGCATTATTTAATACAAGATGTTTATTTCTGTCTCACATAGCAGGCCCAGTGGACCAGCAGTCCAGAGCAGGAAAGGCAGCTCTTGGACAATTATACTTTGTGGTCAAGATGATTTCTTCACTCTATCATCATTACCCACATATAACCACTCTGGGAGGAGAAGTATGAAGGGGAAGGCACATTCCTTCCTCTTAAAAGCATGACTTTATTCATAAATAACAGTCACTGGTTTTTAGCAACATCATGTCAGTTATGCTGAGGTTGCATTAGCCAGAACTTAACACATGACACACTCACTACAAGGAAGGCTGCCAAAAGAAGTCTTTAAATGGCAGCCATGATCCCATTGTAGGTATGGTTGGGGAGCCAGTGAGAAAGATAGCATTGCCGAATACATCTTCTTCACACATCAAAGAAACTTTCATACTCACTTAGAACCATTCTTCCTTTTCCTCCTTGGAACTGAATAGACAAGCCTGACTTAAATGCTGCTCATGGATTCAACATGGCAGAGCATTTTGAAAACTTCTGTTTAGTTTGGCAAGATAATTGCCTACTGGAAAGATCAGCATGTATTTTTGGTCTTGAGGATTTTATAACATTTCCTTAGACCAAAAAAGTAATACGACAAACTACAACAGAGAATGATTGAATGACAGAAGCCAAAGGTATCTCTCAAATTAGCATTTATTTTTCAATCTTCCTTTCTAGATTTACTTCTAGAAACATCCGTCTTCTCTTTTGTGCTTACTGTGGATGGTCTTTTACAGATACAAAGAACAGAGCATCTAAATTCAGATTCAAATCTCCTTGACTGCTGTCAAAGTGACAGTGGTAATTTTGCCTAAGCATGTATATAGACCTGACAAGGGCATGCTTTAGGAATCTAGCTATTCAGCGACATTATCAGTTCCTTACGTTTGAATTAAATAGTAGTGTTCAAACACTGGGCTATTAATTTCACTGTGAATAAAACTAGGCCTGACTGCGACTTGGTTTTAAATGCATACTAGTGAGAAGCATACGATATTTGGGTCAGACAGACTATGGTTCAAACCGGCCTCGACATGTATTCTTAGCCATTCAATTTACATTAGGCAGGAAGTTTTTTCTTATGTCTTGAAATTTCATGTTCATGATCTTATCTTCAACTATAAGTTTTTTAGTATATATCTCTAATTCTGATCTTTCTCCCAAAACTTTTGTGTTATTATTCTAATCACTTAGAGAGTTAGGATATAACAGGAGTTCAAGATCAGCCTGAGCAAGAGTGAGACCCCGTCACTCCTAAAAATAGAAAGAAATTAGCCAGACAATTAAAAATATATATAGAAAAAATTAGCCAGGCATGGTGGTGTGTGTCTGTAGTCCCAGCTACTTGGGAGGCTGAGGCAGCAGGATCGCTTGAGCCCAGGAGTTTGAGGTTGCTGTGAACTAGGCTGACACATGGCATCTAGCCCCAGCAATAGAGTGAGACTGTCTCACAAAAAAGAAGAAAAAGAGTGATTATTAACATTGACTTTGGCCTCCTGTTGAGACAGGTACTCCCAACAATTTAGACATTTATTAACTGCTACACACCCCT